GCAGCTTGTCTGCCATAAATATCCTTCATCAGGCTCAGTGAAACCGACCCCTAATCATTCATCTTCATACTTCAAACTCCCGGGTTGTAACCAGAGCGCCGCCCTGCTGTCCCATGAATAAACTAGCCAAGTTAATTCAGGACATCCCCCACATCGAGCTGGATGGGCAGTATATCAGGGTGCTTTACCTGCCGGTTATATCGGTGGATATTCAGTAAATCTCTGCTCACTTCTGTTTCCTGCAGGGTGTCACAATCAGCCACCTGAAGTTCTTTTAGGGGGAGACCAGGAGACCTGGGCCTTCAGTGGCGGCCTGGCGGGGGAGTTCCAGGTATCACATCCAGGCACATGTGTGATCTCATTAAGAAGCTGCCTGGTGTTGGTTACAGTCAGAAGCTGCTTATACCCCTGAGTATCCCCCTGTGTCAATATGTTAATCAAAGCAGTCGCTCTATAAAGGAAGCTACAGGATGCTTGGAGTTGACTCCCAGCCCTCTGTCAGCAGTTGTCTACCCCTCAAGCTAGTGTCCCCCCACCCTGTTCAGGAGAGAGAGGCTCATCCTGTTACACAGACCCTGCTTGCCATTTGGGTGCTCATGCTCAGTCCAGAGCTCCGCACCTGGTCACATGTCACTCCCTATGCCAGTCACTGACAGCAGAGCGCCCTCTATACCCAATACAGTGTTATTACTGTACATCCAGCAGTGTGAGGGAGTGAAGACTTTATCTTTGCAGAGGCTGTTGCCGATCGATGGGGCAATTGACCTGTTTTATCAGCCGCCACCCCCTGTGCCCATCTCCAAGACGTACAGCATCAGGCCCTATGCTCCCAGGGACGAGGTGAGCTGTGCTCTGCTGGCCACTCTGCTGATGCAGCTGGTGGTGCCGTGACGTTGTCTCCCTGGGCTCTCTTTCAGCCTGTGGTGTACCGGATCTGCAGTGAGGTGTACAGAGAAGCAGCGGGGGACCAGGCTTTCTCAGAGCACGAGCCAGATCTCATCGGTGACAGGTATGACACAGGTATGACACACTTAGCACGCAGGTATGATCACCCTGCGCATACACTATGAGGCCTGGTCCACTGGTGCTCGTGGGAGTTTTACTTACAAAAAAAAAAAATATTGGTTTAGAGATAACCAATCAGATTTTAGAGTGGGTGGGACCAACCAGTCAGATGTCTTGGTCCTGCTTCTTCTAGTTGCTTAGATCCACCTGCTGTACAATCTGATTGGTTATCTCTCGCTTTTTGTTCTGCCCTCAAAACAATTTTGTGTAAGTAAAACTCCCATGAGCTCCACTGGTGGACTGCAAAACTGACAAGAAAAATACAGGAAGTTCTGTATGATCAAATAGAAATGAAAGCATTATATATGTGTGACAGGCAGTGGTTCATCTGGTGGCTCAGTCACTGTTCAGCATTAGGCAGATGTGTCTACATCTTGAGGCAGCAGACACTAGGGACAGGATGCTAATTGATCACAAGGGCACACACTCAGAAACACCCCATCTACACCTGTCACCGGCCTGCAGGGGGAGCCATAACACAGACCTGGTGGTGACAAGTTTGATCCATAGTCCTGCTCCAGTGTAATATTCTGTTAGTAAGTGGGTTACCTTCTCATTTTTTAATTGAATGTTTTTCCGGGAAACATGCTTGCCAATCCCCAAGGCTGGTAGGAGGCTTCTTGTCCCTGAGCCCAGAATACTGCTTTGTGCTGGAGGATAAGGAAGGCATCTGGGGCTATGCCCTGGGCGCCGTGCACATCAAACCCTTCATTAAGAAGTGCAAGATGTGCTGGATTCCCAGCATGCAGGAGAAGTACAGCAAACCCAACTGTGAGGAGCAGCTGTCAGAGGCGCAGGCGAGTGACAGCAGGCGGGTCCAGTGCCGGAAGCCTGTGACCTACATTGCCAGTTTGTGTGGTTTCTGCTAGTGACTGGACAGTAAATAATGCTTCTCCTCCCCGCCCTATAGAAAATGAAGCTTAGCTTCCATGAGGAAGGGGAGAGCATGCCAGAGTCCTTCCTCAGCAGTTTCCCCTCTCTCATCAAGCTGGTTGTCCACTCCAAAGTGACTGACCCCAGCGTGGCCAAATGCATGATGGGATGTCTGCTCTCCTCACTAAAAGCTAATGGTAGGGAGCACCCTGTCACTCACTGGGGATGGGGATGGGGGTTGCAGCCTCGCAGGCCGTCAATGAAAAATTCATTACAATATCTCTCCCGCCCCCAGGCTCCCACGGTGCCTTTTGTGAGGTGAGAGAGGCGGAAACAAAAATGGTGAGCTTCTACAGCAAACTGGGCTTCTTTGAAGTGGCCAGCATGGAGGGATTTCCAAAAGATGTGATCATCATGGGTCGGACACTGTGAACATGGTGGAACTCAGGAGGAGTGATGTGCTCATACAGTAGATGCCCGCCGAACGTGTTTATTACCTTATAAGAGCCAGGAGAACATGTATCCATCTTCACTGCCTTTGGGTTCGCTGCTGTAGCCTTTTAGGATAGCTGGAGAGTCGTTTCAATCCCCTGTATACCTTCCCTGCTTCAACAGTTGGAGTACGGCTTCAGGCCACTGGTCTTGTGGCCTGGGGTAATGAGAGATGCACACTGCTGCCCTCTACTGGAGCAGGGCCAGCTGGGCAGCTACCTCTGCCCCTCATGGTGCCTACAGCCATGCGTCCAGACTCGGGAAGGCCTGGCCTGCCCTGGATGCATATGCTAAAGGATATAGCTGCCAGGGAGACACTGCAGCATGCATCCTGCAGCTCACCAGCTGTTCTCATATATGGCAAAGGGGCGGAATCAATCCAGAATTCAGTCCTGAGGTGGATCTCTTTGTGCAAATCAGTTAAAACAGTCTCATTTCTTAATTTAGTGGTTGATTCATCACCTCACATAAATAAGAAATTTAAGCTGTATTACCACACGCTACCTTTGTCCAGCTGCTGCTGCAGGTCGGTCTTTCCGCACATCTGTGCAGCACTGCCCTCAAACTGCACTGCCCTCAAACTGCACTGCCCTCAAACTGCACTATCCGATTAGGGATGCCATGAAAACGCCTTCAAAGTTATGATTTAAGAGCTTGATTCAATTGTTCTTCTGAACAGACAATGTAAAGCAGGACATCTGTGCCGAAGACTTTGTCCCTCTTTGGAAAGACTTTTTTTCCCCAAAAATATCCTTAAATTTAAAATACAGCTCGGTTTTGGAAAACAAATGTTGCACAGTATAAAGATGAGGTTTTTGTGAATATTTTGATGAAATTAAAGATTTAAGTAAGTGTGCAGAATCCAGTGTTTGTATTGTAAAACATTCATATTTTTTTTACACTTGTAATGAAGCGCTTGACTTTCACTGTGTCCATGTCTGTATAGTACAATGGTATTCTTATGCTGCAGCCACACAGAAAGTGAATACATTCATTTACTTAGCATTACCTTAAACATACCATTGATTTCAAGATAAAGAAATAAGAATCCACTGTATTGTCAGAAATCCCCAGTACTTCTTGCCTTTTGGGTTGTATAATTTAATGGTAAATTACGTAATAAATGGTAAAGCCTACTGTGAAGGTCTGTAACCAGGGCATGGCCATGGGCCAGGCTGGGGTGAAAGGCACAGCTGGGTCCAGGGGCAGAGCTCAGCCAGGGGCCAGAGTTTGGTTCAGGAGCAGAGCTGGGTCCGGATCCAGAAGAGGGTTTTAGCAATGTATGCCGGAACGAAAAGCGTTCGAGAGACACCTAGGTTCTGGTTCTAAAAAGCAGCACCATTGTGACGTAGTCCAGTATCTATTGCTAGGCAACAAGTGAAACCGGGTAAGGCAAGTGGGCTTAAGTTACAGATCACCCCAAGGCTCATCTCACGGACAGCCGTCATGCCAAATCTCTTCCCCGTGACATACCGGAGGTGTTTGGTTGATGACGCAATCGTGATGATGCATTTTTAAGTTACCCCTTACGGTTCAATTTCACCCACACTGCTGCAGCAGGCGTTCACACCAATAACATCTGTTCATGAATGTTTTTTTTTTTTTTTTTTTTAATTGTGTTTATTTAATTATAAAAAAAAGTTTACATTTAGCTTGATGCTATAACCAGACTGGCGGGTAATCTTAGCTTCTGGCTCGAAGACCAAGGCCTACAACTCCCATTGGGCCACCCTGGAGGAGAACGAGAGTCTGCTGTTCAGGCGCTGGAAATTGGAAGATGGCACAGGGGACCTGCTGCTGTTCTGGAGCCGGAACCCCGTCATGCTGAGGTTGGAGCACGGAGTGTTGGAGCAAAAAAGACACTCGTACTGCTGTGATGCCAGCAGAGCTCTACAGGCTCCTAGCCAGCAAAACTCAGGCTGCCCTGCAGCCAAACCTGGTGGGCGCCCCCATAGAGCGCGTGGGGGTGGACATCCTGGGCCCGTTTACCTGTACTTAGGCTGGGAATCACTACACACTCATTGCCACGGACTGCTTCACAAAGTGGCCTGAGGCATTTGCGGTTCCCTACCAGTCCCCCACTGCTTATCAAAATTAGTTACCCATGTAATGGGCTCTAATTGGTTTTTGACTTCATTTTATGGGTAAAATGTCTTGTATTTGTCTTTTATTTTGTTTAGCAAACTGGAATTTTTTTTAAACAAAATCCTTTTGGTAATGGTCTGAAATTCAGAAACCAGTTCAGAAAGAGTAAATCACATTTAACACAATTCACTAATGTTTATTACTTTTGAAAACGAACTTCAACAATACATCCAAACTATATGTTGCTCTAACATCTCTAAAGCCAAAAACACTGTCAACATTTGTAAGGAATTTAATTTATTGCTTTTGCAACTTTGTAGCTCCTGCATTTGTCATTGTTCCTATTCGGTTTTTTAACGTTGTGTATTACAGCGGGTTTTTTTGTGCTGGTTCACTGTACTGTATGTTATATCATACACTTGAACTACTAATAAAGTGTTAAAAAAAGCCACCTGTCACCGCGCACTCATGACGTCACTCATGCGACGGCACTTGCAGCGGATCGCGTTTTCTGTTGCTCGACAGAAACGTTTCTCTTGCCTGAGACCTGCTATCCTACTTGCATATAAAATGTCTTTGGACAAAAAATCGCTAGAGAGCAGTAGTTTGGGCCATACGGAATTGGAAAGCTATCCTTTCAGTAAGCTGTTTTGTTTTTGTTTTTTTTACAATACTGTAATAAGTATATTCTCTGTACACGTGGGAGACACCTCTCCAGTTTATGGATTTTCGACAGTCATATAGATACTAAAGAACTGCTTTATTATTTTTATATTACGTAATATATAACTATAGTTGGCTAGCTTAATTGGTTTATGGTTTGCATTTAAATTCGCTAATTAATTAACGAAGAAGCTAACTATTTGGTTGGCTTTTTCCTCAGGTTGTGTTTTAACTTCCCGACTCCCCTACTACACCTTCCACGGAGACCAGGAGGAGGATGGAGATCACTTTCTTGAACTCCAAACAGTAGGTGTTGTTTTCCTTGCTTGTACCACACAAATGTAAAACATATTCAGTGTAAAATGCCTCTACACAGTCTTTATAAAAGACTATCTGATTGCTGGTATAATCAGCAAATCAGCCTTTTTTACTGGGGAAAAAATTAAGATTTCCACCATCTACATACAGATCTGCCTGGGAGATGGTGCCCAGGAAGAGAGCCATGAAGTAGCTGTGATGGCATTGAATCACCTGGGGAAGAAAGTGTCTGTCCCTGTGGCTACTCTTCACCCGTCATGTCTGCCTATGGTACAGTACATGCTTTATGTGTGTGCGAATCAAGACAAATGCTTCCTAGTTTTTGGTGCAATGTAAGAGGTTCCCTGCTCTATCCCAGGTGAGTTTGGGAGGGTTTGAGCTGAAGGCCCCTGTGACGCTTCTTCTGAGGTCTGGATCGGGACCCGTCACCGTGAGCGGTCTTCACCTTGTTGGTGAGAAAGGCAGCCCGGCTGGGTCACTCACACACTGTACTGCCAACTCACACCTCACCCTTCTATTACCAGCAGCAACAGGGTTGTGTTGAGTGGCTCTCCCCTTCCTTCTTGGGTTTGGCTTGTGGTTGCAGCTGTACATCTTCCCTGGGTTGCTTATATAGGCTTCACTGCATTGGTGCCTTCATTATCAGAGGAGGGAGGGTGAAGGAGGATGTTGCCACATGGGGATTGGAGACATTGTACAATCTACATAACTGATGAAAGACTGCAGAGCCAAGCATTGTGCCTCCACTGAATCAGGAAGAGTCAGTATAGAGCGCTTACGCAGGACAGTGACATAAACCCACATCTCTCATTTCCCTCAGAGGATGAGCAAAAATCAGAGCCTGAGAAATCAGAGGAGCAGGAGGAAACGATGATCCCTGTCAAGCGTGCCAAGAAGCCAAAAGTCTAGTTGGTGTCTAAACATCATCTCCACTTTGGGTGTATTTCCATTTTTTACATTTATTTATTTACCAGATGTCAGTATCCCTGGAGAAAGTGGGGTTAAGGGTCTTGCTCAAAGGCCAAACAGTAATATGATTACTGTGCCAGCCATGAGTTTTGAACCCACAACTATCTGGTCATGGGCACAGATCCCTAAACTACTGAGCTGTGTGTTGTCCCTGTGGTTAAGTTTATTTTTCATTTATTTATTTAGCAATCACTTATCAAAAAGTGACAAAATTCGGAAAGCAGGGTCAACCGGTCCCTGATGCAATTGGGGTTACGGTCCTTGCTCAAGGGCCCAACAGTGAAATCACTTTGCCAACCATAGGTTTCAAACTGCTTACCTGCCAATTATAAGTACAGTAGAACATTGGAAATCGAACACCTCTTAACTCGCTCAACCCAGACAACGAACAGGCTTGTCGATTTTTTTTTTTTACCTCAACCAAAATCTTGGAACTCAACCGTTCCTAAGAGAACTTGTATGGTTCAGATGCATTCAACTTCATGAATTCGGACCTCGAACAGGTCGGTCGAGAAAAATGTAGCCACAGCTCGACCAAAAAACTGGAGACGCAACAAAACAAAACAGACCTGCTAAATCTTGTGTGGATCGAGATGTGTCTGCCCTTCCAAACAATAACCTCCCACTTCGAGTGCCATCAGCTCACCTTAATACAGGTAAAGTGCTCATAAATTATCATTTATTTCATGTTTATTGCTTTTGTACGTATGTGTACTTTTTCATGTGTGTGTTTTATTTTGATTGTTAATGCTTTTTATCATTAGACAGGTACCTACCTAGGTATAAATAAGGGGTCTGGACTGATTAAATTCATTTACATTATTTCTTATTGGGAAATTCACCTAGGACCTCGACCAAAAATGCAACTTGACCAGCCTCCTGGAACGAACTAAGTTTGTGTTCCAAGGTACCACTGTACAGTGTCCTAATCCACTGAGCCGAGTGCATTATTTATGAAAGTAGTCTTTCAAGTTTGCATTTTATAACAGATATATAATAGTTTAAGAATGCAACAGTTGGGAAACTCAAAAGGAAATCAAATTTTGAATGCCGTTTAATTCATGGTTCTTACATTGTCATTTTATACATGTATTCATAGTAGATTAACCTATCTTGTTTGAAATATTTGAAGGATAACTAGGTAGTACCAGTATTCCTTTACTGGAAGCTTTCAGGGAGCTGTATTACTGGGGCCATATTGGGCAGGGGACATGGCAGGTCCGAACAGATGGACAGCTACTAAGAATGTTTTTTTTTTATTTGTACATTGTCTATAAATAAACATTGTTTTATTCTTAATCATCTTTTATGTTTTGTTGATGCCGTTGCCTTTGTAAAATGCATTCACATCCCTATTCCTGTGGTCAATCTCTCCTGGGCTGGGAGGGTCAGGGACACGCTCAGGTCATACCGGTGAACTTGTGACCTTCGTGTTCAGGAGAGTCAGTGGAGGAGATCAAACTGAAGGCAACAGGGACAAATATGTTGCCTTTAGAAGGCCTCACTTCTATCATGAACTGTTTTGAGCTGCTTTCTCTCTTGCATTTTGCTGAAGGTGGTTTTTATTATGATAAAAATCCTCCAAAAATATTAAAAACCAAATCCAAAAATCTATTATCGAGCAAAATCATGCAACAGCATAATCTGGACAGTCAAAGGCGGCAAAGGCACAGCCTCTAACACTATAAAATACATGTTCATGGAGTCATAAATTCTTAAGTCTTAATTTAGCTGCCCTCCAGTGATTGATGTGAGCCAGAAGTCATGGAAAAATGAAACAAGTCCCTGCTGTATGCATGGAGTCTGTTTCTTCCCATGTTGCTGTTGGTTTCCAGTTCCCCTCCACAAGTTACCTCTTAAAACAAAACACATTCCGACAACAAACCAATCAATTGATAACATCTTCAAGGCTCATAGCATCTCTGTACTGGACAAGTAGGTATAGAGGATGGATAGATAGATCCATTTGTGATATGCCTGCCTCTGCACTGAGAAAGCAATGCAAGTTAAGATGTTTCTACCTTTACATACTAACAGGTTGATGGATGGATAGATTGACAAAGAAAGAGAAAAATAATTGTGTCCATGAAGCAAAAGCACAGATTAAAGAACTGGAAAATTTTCTCAACAATACTGAACAAGGAGGACATGCATTTTATTCTTGATCTAATGAGCAAAGTCAGGCATTGTTACTGAGGCTATGGACCTGTTAGCTTTCATAACAAAGGCATAAAATCCCAAAACACTGATATATCCTCACAAGACCGTTGTATTTAGTAAGATATTATGGCAATGCCTTAGTTTCTCATTACCACAGCAACAAAATCGTAGAGCTTATCACATAAAGCACAGGGCACGCGCACACACACACCAAGAAAATTCAGAGACCCATTGTGGGGAGAAACAGAATGGGCAGAGGAATGCTGCACATAGACATCCTTGGCAAATTAATTGAAAAATTGTGAAAGAACTGAACAATATATTTTTTCTAATTGGTATTATGAATCACACTAATATACCCACATTAATACCAGAGTTGTTATAGTTTTCAAATGTACATTAATTTCCATTTTTATTTAGTTTTCTATTTTGTTTTTTTAAAGAGTACCGTTTTTACTTTATGAACATTTCTAGTTTTAGTATTAATTTTAGTTTTTAGTTACCAAGTTTTGATGCCACACTGTTTTCACCCTGCACAGGAAACAGGTAAAGAGAAAGTGTGAAGCATTTTGGTTTCTTGCCTCAAAATTCCCTTCCAAATCCATCACCTATTTCCTGTAACACCGTCATGTTTTATAGCTATGAAGGACCTGGTTTAATTGATGCACACATTCCCTGATTTGGCACTTTTGGTCAAGTAAAGACTACCTGGGTGACCCCCAGTGAAAACCCCCAGGGAAGTATTGGTTAGAGTGAGGAACTATTCCTATAAACATTAAAGCGAAGCAATAAGACAATAATTGTACAAAGCGTTAAGAGAATGCTAAAACAAAGTTTAATATCCCAATTCCAAAAACTCAAAACACTCAAAATGCCAACATCAATAACATTTCACTCAACACTGAATGTGTGAAAGATGAAGTGATTTGCAATGCCACCAGCCTTGTTTTAACCTTGACAATAGGTAAAGGAATACCAAGAAATAAGTATAATTAATAAACGTGAATCAAATGGCAAACCATTAAACAAAGCTTAGTAACTTGGTTCCATTTAGTAGTAATCTATAGTTTTCTTAAAGTAGTAAGTACTTTAAGAAAAGATTAGCCTAGAAGAGTACATTTTCACTTACATAAACCACTCCACAGCACATAAGTTTGTGTCTGAGACCGAGACAATCGAGAAAATGTAGAGGCGCTCACTAGATAGAACTTAATCTCTCCTTTCTGGATCACGTTTTTTCACAAATTATTTTGGAATCTACAGAATCCTTTACCTTTGTCGCGAACACTGTTGTTAGTCCAGCCCAAAACATCAGATCAAACCTTGACGAACGCAGAAAAACAGCATACAGCAATACCTCAACCAGAAGAGAAATGCACCAAGATGGCGGACGGCGGTCTTTGCTATGTTTGGGCGGGGCGGTGTGACGTAATGGCAACGCACAACCACAGTAAAAATCGAGGGGGTAAAAAGGAAAATGAAGTTAATTTTACCCGTATTTCTATTTCGTTTTTATGTACTTTTCATTTTTAAACTATCGTTGTTATCTTTATCCCATTTAACGAAATGATTTGTTCACTCCTAGTTTTAGTTATCTATGATTAATACATAATGTGGCCTGCTCGGATTTTGAGCAGCATTTTGATACGGTTTGGCATGGAATCCACTAATTTCGAACGTCTTGCGGTGATTCTTGGGTCCCAGTACTGATTAGCTTGAATACGTTTCTCTTTTGTCGTACACTCCATATTCCATGAATACTGACTTCTCTGACCTTGCACGTAGAAATGGCTTTCATCGCTGAATAGGACTCCAATCTTATTTATTCCAGTTTTTGTATGTGTCCCCATTTGTAACACTTCTGTTTCATTACTTTTGTCAGGAGTTGCTTTTTCACATGCCGCGTGGCTTTCCTACCAACTTCCAGCAGTTGTCTGCGAACCGTAGAACTGACTTTTATCTCCCAAATCATGCTTTAGTGCTCGTGTTCTGAGTATCTTTCACACTCTCCCGTAGTAGGTAATCGTCGTTGCTTACGACCACATTTCCTTTTGCGTTTTTGGTGAAATAGATCCAATTTCCTTATTTTAATCACACGGCTGACGGTTGCCAGACTGATACCCACTGTTCTAACTATGTCCCTGTAGGTCTTGTCTGTGTGATCGTGTAGGGTCACGATCTTCAACCTAAATAAAACAATCTGCAATCACTACATCATCTGATTGACAAACAATGATAAAATATTTATTCATTCCCGTCTACATGTACAACAAAATAATTAAATGAAAAATGACAGCTTTCCTGCATAAAAACATGATAATCAGTGGAAAAGGTTTTTTAAAAAAAAGGGTGAGTCTAAATTGGCCCTGTAGTTGTGTGAGTGTATGCGCCCTGCGGTGTGTTGGCGACTGCCCAGGGTTGGTTTCCGCCTGCGCCCATTGTTCCCGGGATAGTGCCCAGCGACCCCGGTTGGGATTAAGCGGTTTCAGAAGATGGATGGATGTTCGAGGACGGTACAGGGCTGCGGCCAGAATCAAGCCCAAACTGAAGGTTTGAGGCTGAAGTTCTACCCCCTATATAATAACTTCATATCCCAGAATGCACCATTTTAAAACTACTTCCCAATCTTGCTTCCGTGTTCTCACGTGATCAAATCTTTCCGGCTACCGTATCTGTGGATTCGTGTATTTTAATACCGGTGGGAAATTATGCATAGTAACGGTGTAAAGGCGATTTTGTTCGATTTGGATAACACTCTTATAGACACACGTGGTGCCGGCGAAATCGCCTTTGAAAAAGTAAGAATATGAAAGTAACCCAACCGTTTAGTGATTTTAGTCGCATAAATTGTGTTTTCCTTTAAGGTGTAAAACCAAGCCAAATCATTTCAGTGCGATCAAATATTTTCAGGTTGTGCCGCCTGATGCTATTGCAGTTGGTTGAGAGTATTAGAGATAGTCAACTGTTCCTGCTATTAAGCGATTACAATTTTTTAAATTTCTTCCTATGTCTTTAAAGCACTAGCTAGTTGGTGACGTGGCTGGTCGCAATATGGAGCGAGTAAAAAAAAAACTGTCGAATAATTCATGGTTGCCAGCTTTGGTCAGGGGGCTGGCGTGAGATTTTTAATCCGAGACAAGTATGCACACGCATTTACACGTATGCAAGATATTTTTTACCTTATAAATAGTCTTAAGGGTTTGCAAACTACCTAACGCATTTGGTGTAGCTAATTTTAAGTTTATAATGGAGTAATATGTACTATGACTACAAATATTTTGATGGCCATTTTCTTGTTAACGATTGATCGATCAATTGATGCTTCAAAGAGATTGCAAACCTGGTTCTACAAACTTTGTTTGAAATAAATTCCTACACATAAATTGATAAATTACCCCTTTTAATACAGGTTGCTGAATTGCTCAGGACAAGACTCCATCATGGAGACATCGAAACTATTTGTAAGAAATTTAAACAAAAGCTGCTTGAGGAATCATACCAACCCTTTGCAGACTTGACCATTGACCAGGTGAGGATAAATCACTGGGACAAGGCCATTGAAGAAAGTGGGGGCTTGGATCATGACCCCTCCCTGGCTGCTCAGTGTTACTGGCTTTGGAAAAACACAAGACTGGATCACCTCTGTATCCCTGGGCCAGTGCAAAGGCTACTGCAAGAGCTGAAGACGACCCACAAGCTGCTGCTTTTGACCAATGGGGAGGCCCAGACGCAGAGGGAAAAGATCCAGGCTGTGTGCTGCAGGGGCCTCTTTGATGCCGTGGTGGTAGGTGGGGAGCATGCAGAGGAGAAGCCAGCCCCTTCCATTTTCCAGCACTGCTTCCATCAGCTGGGGGTGGGGCCCCAGGACTGCATAATGGTAGGGGACTCGCTCGACACAGATATCCTGGGTGGCATCAACGTCGGTATCCGTGCCACCGTGTGGATCACCGACAAGGGCACCATACAGCCGGAGGCATCCATAAAGCCGGACTATGTTTTAGCAACTGTGCTTGAGCTGCCCTCGGTCCTGTCCACTTTGTAGTGAGAGATTCAATCAGACATTCTGTGAAATGATAAATAATAAACTTTATTGATCCCCATAGGGATAAACCCATAGCAGTGCCCAGGGAGATGGGGGTTAAGGGCCTTGCTTAAGGACCCCACAGATGTGCCGAAGCCGGGCTTGAACCAGTGACCTTCCGATCACAGCCACAGAGACTTCTGTAATTTGCCAGTAAAAGATGCATAAATGCAGCCAGGATCTTATACTACAGTCTACATGTTTACTGAAAGCATCGGCAATTGTACAGTTTCTCCCCACTAATATTAATGTAAATATATAAAGATTGCTGCTATCAAATAGAATTTTGATTAAAATAAAAGTTGATAAAACACCCATTCTGTCAACCGAATTGTTCACAATAAACCTCAGGATGCAAGAAACTGCAAGTACCATTCAATCAGTTGGGTTTATTAGGAAAAACTGGATGCATTTCTTTAGCTGACATAACTATCTGCTATTACCAATTCTCTGCAGGGATTTTAAATCTGGGGTATGGTCTGCATTTAAAATAAAACAACTATTGTCTCAGTGCTTTCAAAGGATGCTTGAAAACCTCAGTAATATCAACACAGCAGATACACATATTATATTACAAATAGTGTGATCTCACTCTCACATTTTCCTCAGAGGAGTGATATTATATAGCCTGTCTTATAAGCAACGGTGGCATAAAAATAGAAAATATTGCCTTTTTACTTTTACACCAAACCAAGTCCAGTCAAGTCTCCATAATTCACAGAAATCCATGAATGAGACCTGTGATTGTACTCTAGGCTAGAACGGCAGCAATCACTTGACATTCAGTTTGACCTTGATGTTCATGGCGGCGAGCTCAGCGACAAAGTACCGGAACACGTAGGGCAAGGCCACAGTGTCTATGGCACTGCCCTTCCCGCACAGGGTACAGATGGTCTTCCGGTGGCGTGTGGCCGACCAGGAGGGCGGAGGTTTCTCTAAGAGGGGCGACAGCAGGCTACCACAGTCCAGGCACACTTGGGCTACGGAGCGGTCCGAGCAGTTGAAGAGGCGGTCGTGCAGCAGGAAGGAGGAGCCGTGGGCCAGCAGGGCGTCCCTCTCCATCTCCCCGAAGCGGATGCCCCCCTGGACGTTGCGGCCTCCTAGTGGCTGGTTGGTCACCTTGTCCCGAGTGCCCGTGGTCCTCACCTGGAACTTGTCGGAAACCATGTGGCGAAGGCGTTGGTAATACACCACGCCGATGAAGATGTCGGCCTCCAGCTCCAGCCCGCTGAGCCCGCTGTAGAGCCGTTCCGTGCCGTAGTAGTTGTAGCCCGCAGCTTGGAGCATGGCACCGAAGTGCTCGAGGGCGGGGCACTCCTCAGAGAAGGTGAAGGGCGTGGCGTCGTGGCACAGACCGTGCAAAGCGCCCGACTTGCCTGCCATGCTCTCGATGAGCATGCCGATGGTCATGCGCGACGGGAAGCCGTGGGGATTGAACAGGATGTCCGGCGTCATGCCGCTCTCCGTGAAGGGCATGTCCTCGGCGGGCCACAGCCGGCTCAGGATGCCCTTCTGGCCATGGCGGCTGGCGAACTTGTCGCCGATGGTGGGGTTACGCGGCACTCGCATGGTCATGCACACGCGGCTGAAGCGGCCTGTCCCCATGTCGTTGCTGCACACCTTGATGTTGTCCACGACGCAGCTCTCCTTACTCCTGCCAGTTGGGGGGGGGGACAACGGCCCAGAGTTAGAAATATTTAGATAATCCTGACCCTTGACGTATGAATGCTTTGCTCAGAGGGTGAAAATTCGTAAACAGGAACCTCTAGTACTTTGATTCATGATAAAATGTCATATCCATTCATGCATCCTTACACATGTAGTGAGGTGTGTCACATGTGCATATAGTGTGTAACTGTTGCGATGTCCCAGAATCCTGACCAGAATTAGTGTGTACGGCTGCCTTGTACCGCATAATGCCTGGGATAGGCAGCTGGAAAGTGAATGGTAAACCTAGATATATGCAACCATTAAGAATAATAATTGTTGCCTTGTACAGTGTGGGACTCCCTTAAATGTCGAAGCAATATTGTAGCGCATCAAACGGCTGTTATGTCTTCATGCGGTAGATTATACTGGTAATATGTATTGAGCTGTTGAGGTTAAAATGACAATATGCAAATACCAATCAACCATTCACCATCAATGGAAAATGTGTACACATTAGGGATGGTAAGATTCACCGATTCGCATTGGTATATTGGCATACAAGTCCTTGATGTGACTGCCCTAATTATATAAGAACATAAGAACATAAGAACATAAGAAATTTACAAACGAGAGGAGGCCATTCGGCCCATCAAGCTCGTTTGGGGAGAACTTAGCTAATAGCTCAGAGTTGTTAAAATCTTATCTAGCTCTGATTTAAAGGAACCCATGGTTTTAGCTTCCACTACAATAGCAGGAAGACTATTCCAT